GCGTGCCGCCTCACGCCTCAGCTAAAATGAATAAAAAGCTCCATGCTGTCTCACACCAAATAAGGCTCTAGTGTTGTGAGTTGCTTCATTGACGCCAAATGCTTCTACCATAGCATCCCAATTTTCAATTTCATTTCCCCAAGCTACCTCATCAATCCATTCATTGCAATCCTTAATGTCAACCAGACATATTTTCATTTCCTTAAAAGCCAGATCTTGAAATGTTTGGTGGTAAACTTCATCACAATTTGTTTTTTCTTCAATTATTTTATCGAACTCACTTTTATACCACTTTGGTGAAACAAATATATGTCTCAAAGAGTGTTTGCGTGTGAGGAGGCCGATAGGGACCTAGATAGTACTAGTAATAAGAATAATATTAGTCTTTTAAAGTTGTACAATAAAAGGGGTTTAGGCCCTGTAATTAAATAGTAGTGGGCTAGCACAATTTTTTTTAGAAAATAGAATTTTATTGAATGAAAAAAGCAGTACAAAACGAGAAAGGAAAAGAGTACATAAAATAAAGGAAACAAAAATAACTACTCCCAAGGGAAATCTCTACCCTGCGACCTAGTCTTCATGCTATGGCACTTTTTGTTCTTCTGAGACTTTCTGTAAATCTTGAGTTGGGTGTTCAAATTATCTGTTGGCAAGCAATTTTCTTGGGTTACAAAATCAGCTTTGTGACAGATTCCCCTGTTGAATTTTGATTTCCTAATTTCTTTGGGGTAAGAAATTGGAGGACGACGATCACTTTCGATTGCATGTCCCAGAAAGTCATCTGTGAAGAAGGAGTCATCAGAGTGCTCAAAACTGTCAGAGGCGTCCGAGTAAGTCTGAATCGATGTAAACTGGGGTTGTTTTCCCGCAGATAAGCCATGTTGGTTATTGGTGCATGCCTCCTCAATTTGAAAATTTAAGATCAGTTTGGATATGGACGTAGGGTCCTCGGATTGAATTGTGCTCAATTGAAAGGAAATTGATTCATCTTGCCCAAGCTTTGGAACCCCTGCAAAATTAGAGAAAATATTGAGAAATTTCAGTAGGCTCGATTTATGAGGTCCCATGGGAATCTGAATGGAGCTCCCCTTATGTTTGGCAATTTCCACGTAATCGCCTGATCTGTTTGTTTCTATAGAAACTGTGACATCTCCAAATCATCTTAACAACCTAAATTTTTCGGATCTGAATTTGTGATGTGGGAGATGAACCAAATGATTTGGTGAGCCAGGTCAGTATTGAGTTCCACTTTGTGGAGTTGGGTTTTCTTAATTACAAAAAGGACCAAATTTTTGTCTCTGATAGAGAATTTAAAAATTTTGGATTCTATTTTGACGGAGTCAAATCCATCCTCTCCAAAGAAGTGATATTTTTCATTGGTATTGGAAATTTCTGTCACAGCCTGATTGCCTTCTGTCGTGAGCAAGGAAAAATTTCCTTCTTTTCGGCACATCTGATTTTGAATTACTGAAAGGGAAAGGGAAGATAGATGATTGTTATGCGGGCCCTCTCCAGAGATATTGTCTTTGGTTGATTTTAAAATATCAGCCCATGTGGGTCTTTTTCCTGCAGCTCTGTTAGCCTGGGTTACCGTATCAGCCCATGTGATATTTGGCTGGATTTGGCTCGCTGATTGACGTCCGTAGCTGGCATCTTTCGCAGAAAGCCCTACCGAAATAGCCGCATTGGGTTCTTGGATTCCGGCTGTCAATCAGAGAATCTGTTAAATTATTATTATTACTTTATTTGAAAGTATGTAATTTTGGGAAGTTATTGTTAGGTTTTAAGTGCAGGATATCTTGCATTAATGGCAAGGATCTCCTGATTTGTTTCCTTGTAAATGAATTTAGTTTTTGCCTATATAAGTGTGAATATACAGCTGAGGAAGGCATCTCAGTTCTTTCAGCAATTCTAGTTCTTAGTTCTTCCCAGTTTCTTATCTTCTGGTAATATTTGTGACAGGCGGAACTGGTTCCGAGCAAGACTTCTCCGCGCCCGTGGGAGTCTTACCCGACTGTTGACCACTGGTAGTTGACTGCTAAAGTCGTCTAATCTGAAAGGCTGTGTGAAATTGTGCCATCAAGCTTTCCGGCGATGGTGAAGATACTAGCGGAGAGATTGGTGGTCTCTTCTCAATGTCACCGATCTCATTAGAGGTTGGGATGGCAGAGTGGGTTCGACCTTGATTCCCATACCGGCGATTTCGGCCGTCTCTTTTCGATCTAGGTATTCAGCGTTTGAAATTGTTGGGGAAATACTTGTCATGGTCAGTTGCGAGTAAGTATTGGGGAAAATATGTGGGTTTGTCTTCCATATCTAATAATACGAATAGATTTGAGTTTCTTACTGACCATGTGATTTCTGGAGAGGACCGATGATGTATTGATAAGTGCTGATTGAGATGAGGGTTGAAAGGCCTTCGCCTATTGTGAACTGTGTGCCAAGAGGAGTCTTTGTCGTCTTTGAAGATGAAGGGAGCAGATATGCCGTTGGCCTGTTCCAGGTGATGTAGCTGGCGGCGTCCCGAGGAGGGCCTCACCCGTTCCGGTCGTTCCCTCAATGTCGGTTCCAGAGAATAGTCGTATGTATGACTATTGCGATAGTGATGTTGATTCCCAGGTCTGGTTCTTTGGGGTCTTCGTACCTGATTTTTGGTTTGGGGATGATGATACCATTGAAGAATTGGGAGATGGTATTTTGCCGGTTGGGAGTCCCTGCAGCAGTAGCGTTGTATGTAGCTAGAAGAATCCCAGTCAGTGTGTTGGCAGATTTCATTGAATGGGTGATGAGTGTTCCGGCGTGGGTGTGGCTGCCGGAGGTCCATTTCCCGTATTCAAGAAGTTTCTGGAATTTTAGAGAGATGAGGGAGCTTCTCTCTCTTCATCATTATCATAATAGTGGGCTAGCCTAAATGGAAAAGAATAAATAGGAGTTGGCGAGTAGAATAAGGCAGACAGAAGTTAGAAATGGGGACTGGGCTTGGGAGAGGGAGACTGCTCTAAGTATGTCAATCGGCATGTTTCTTCTCTTTCTTAGGATTTCCGCCATTGTAACTCTGCGTCATCAATAAACTATTAATTTATGCTGCTTTGGTTGAGACACTATCTTTGGTATCAGAGAACTCGCTCCTGTCTATCTGAATCGTGAATGGAGAAGATGGAGGAATCATGTACGCTGCTAATGGAGAAGAGTATGAACGATATAGAACACCATTTGAAGGAGATGAGAACTACGCTGGTCAAGACGCAGGAAAGGATGCGCGGCTTGCTGCGAGAATTGCGTTGCAGGCGACCTAGAGGATGCTTGAGAACCATTCGAAGTTGTCGACCCTAGAGGAGCACGGCATGCGCCTGGCAGAGATCGCCGCTTCCCTGGCAGCGCTTACCAAGGCGTTTGTTCTGCCAGTCATGACGGAAACAAGCCCGGACACGGTATCTACGCACGGCAGCGACAGACAGCCGCGCAGCGTCACTTCCTCCTTGGCTGCGCTCATAAAGACTTCTATGCCGCCGACGGCAGAAGGGCACTCATCGGCAGCCGCGTCACCAGATTCTGCGTCAACATCTGCGTGCAAACCTGAGGAGATTGCTGGGCAAGAAAAAGATGCAGCACTAGGAAGTTGTGGAACGGGAAGGCTTGCTTCTTGCTTTCTTGATTCCATGGCAACCCTAGATTCACTAGCATGGGTTTATGGATTGAGGTACAAGTTTGGAGTGCACAAGCAACGTATTATAGAAGCTGGACAAGAGGAAGTTACTGAAGGTTGGCTTGATAAATTCAGTCCCTGGGAAGTTGCAAGACTTTGGCAGGCCAAAGCTAGTGCAGAGGACATAAACTTATTTCAAGTTAACGGTGATCAATATGAATCTGCTGCACAGTTTCACTCTAGTGCTCACCATATTTGTGGTTTCTTTGATCCCGGCGATGCAACAGAAAGTGGAAAACTTTTAAGTCTTAAACAACAAATTTTGCTAAGTGGTGCGCCACTTCAGGATACCATATACAGATTTAAGGAGAGGAATGATGGGAAGGGTAGGCTTGATTGGTCCTCATTCCCCTCAAAAGTTGTACTGCTAGAGGCCAGGTGGAATAACAATATGAAATTTGAACTGAATGGGTGCCTAATCATAGGAACACTGGACGGGGCTAATATGGAAATCAAAGAGAAAATTGGGGAAAATAATTTTTTCCTTTTTGGTGTAAGAGCTGAAGAAGTGCCTCTTCTGCGCAAAGAAAGAGAAAACAATCCATTTAAATCAGATCCTAGGATTAAAGAGAGCTCTGTGAGGCAGTTTTCGGATTCCAACCTTGAGGACTAGGTTGTTTCGAAGGAGGATGAATTGATAGAGAGCAGAGAGATCAAGGGGCGGGAACGGGCTTGGGCCCACCTCCGTGGGCTGGTGGTTATATAGTTTATGTTATGTTTTCTAGTTTGGGCCTATTATTAGTAGAGTACTTAGTAGAGTTAGTATGGGCCTAATTAGGATTTAATTAATTTGGGCTTGATTAGGGTTGCTTGTAGAAGGCTATTTATACCCCTTGCCAGGGTTCATTCTGATTATCTTGGAATAAAAGTTGGTTTAACCTTTTGGCTCTGGGTAACGGTATTTATTTATCGTTGATTATCTGGGCAACGGTTCACCCTGTTGATTTTTATTTTTATTTTTCTGTTCTTATCAATTACCCCAAACTGGTGGCTTACACACCCGAGACAACCAAGCTATAAAGCTTGGACTAGGGCCAGTTTTTGTGTTCTTAATAGAGTCATTGTTTTTTAGTTTTTATCATATCTTATAACAAAAGAACACATTCTTGGAAGTTTTGAACTATTCATTATTTTACAACAAATATTATACGTAGTAACTTTTAGGAAGTATGTAGGAGCCATTTCCATTACCAAAAAGACAATTATACAAAAGTTTAGAACAATGCTTTTTAAATAATTTTTTTATTCTAATCATGCTTGCTTGTTTTATTTTCAATTACATGTGTCAGGACAGGTAAACAGATGGGGAAATGTTATATATGATGAATATGTCCGGCCAATGGAATATGTTGTTGATTTCCGCACCAAAATAAGTGGAATCAGACCTCACCACTTAAAGAAAGGTTGAGCCTTTTTAGATATTTTAGCATAAAAAAACAGAACAACTTATAAAATTCATAATGAGTTGAAGAAAAGTGATGATACTTTTGTACTGTAATGAAGCAAGTTACTTATTAAAAAACTGCGGTAAGCTAACAGGTTAGGAAAGCGACTATATCTCCATATCCATAACATCTCTAATGCTTATCACATAAGGGGCCATTTGTTGGTATTATATATCAGGTCCAGTTCCAATAAAAAGTAGTCTTAAAATACAAAATGTGAACGCATCCACTTTTGAGCATCCGAGTTGCACTATTGCATTGAGAAATTTTCCGCCATCCACTTTTGGTCCTTTATGGTACACTATTGCACGCTGGAAGTCCACTTTTTGGTAAGAAGAAAAACTTTGATTTATTTACGAAAATGCTACCACGTTTTTCATCCACTTTAATGCATTTTTATATATTAACTATTTAGAGTCATTAGATCCTAAATCCGATGCTCCAGATTTATTCCTATTTTGTTAAGGGCAGACGTACAAGATCTCGTCCAAGGACGAGAACGAGAGACTGGCAGGGAACGAGAACTTCGAAAATTCTGAAATTTGGAATCTATGATGAATGTATTAACTGGAAGAATTAAAAGAAAGGCTCAGTGGAATTAATCTGATCTTGGAAGTATTCCAGAGATCCAGAAATTAATTCTCCAAAGCTGTTTATTGAATAATACTAATGACCCTTATATAGCTATTACAAGAGTCCTAATTCTAAAAGGAAATAAATGCTAATTAAGAAGTTTCCTAAAACATAGTAGGAAACATAATAGCTAATTGAACAGAGATAAATACTAATTAGGAAACTGCTGCAGATTATTGAATAGGAAGCTAGAAATAATTAGAGAAAGAGATAAATGCTAATTAGGAAGCTGCAGATTAGGAAGTTTCCTAAAACTGTCAGATCACATATTTCTTTCTCAGCCACTTTGGATTCCAGAATCATCCTTCCTGATCATCCGATTTCTACGTTGATATTTCCGACCATAGAATTGGTCTGTAACATCACTCCCCCCGTTGACAAAGAGCTTGTCCTCAAGCTCAAAACTGGGAAATCTTGTTTGAAATGAACCCAAGGGCTCCCAGGTTGCCTCATCCAGTTGGTGCCCTTGCCAGTGAACTAAGAGCTCCCATCCCCCTTGAGTAAGTCTACTTCGAATGATTGCAAGTGGAATTGAGGTGCTAAGACTGTTAGGAACTGGCGGAAGAGTGCCCATTGTCGTTGGAGGAGGCCCTTTATGTGGCTTCAAAAGGGAGACATGGAAGACATCGTGTATACGAGCCTCAGAGGGTAATATGAGCTTGTATGCGCTGTTGCCAATGCGTTCCTGCACTTGAAAGGGGCCAAAAAATTTCTGCAATAGTTTGTGATTTTTTTGGCCCAAGGAGAGCTGGCGATATGGCTGGAGACGGAGCCAGACCCATGCTCCGGGTTCAAAGGATAAGTCTCGGTGATGTTTATCAAACTGGTCCTTCATGCGTTGTTGGGCTTGTGCTAGTCGGTCCTTGACACTTTTCAGAAGTTGGTCACGGGCAATGAGCTCCCGATCAACCCCCTCGACCATAGTTGTGCCGGGCATATATGAGAGAATACGAGGCGGATCCCGACCATACACTAAACGAAAAGGGGTGTCCCCTAAGGAAGAGTGGTAAGATGTGTTGTAACAATACTCAACCCATGGAAGCCAACGGACCCATTCCTTGGGATAATCGCTAGTGACACAACGTAAGAACAACCCTACGGTACGGTTGACCACTTCCGTTTGGCCATCTGTCTGCGGGTGATATGCTGATGAATAGGCCAGCTTGGTTCCTGATAATCTGAAAAGTTCGCGCCAAAATGTGCTTACAAATATTTTATCCCGGTCAGAAACAATGGATTCAGGCAGTCCATGAAGGCGAAATATTTCAGCAAAGAAGACTCCTGCGACTGAGACAGCAGTATAAGGATGAGACAATGGGACGAAATGTGCTGCTTTAGAGAGTCTGTCCACAACCACTAGAATAACAGACTTGCCGCGGACCTTTGGTAAACCCTCCACAAAATCCATTGAAATATCGGCCCATATGTGGTGTGGAATCGGAAGAGGTTGAAGCAACCCAGCTGGCTGTAATGTCAACCACTTGTGTTTTTGACACGTTTGACAGTCACGAACAAAGGTTGTCACTGCCGTTTTCATGCCGCTCCAATAAAACTCACGCCGAAGCCGTTGCAAAGTCTTTTCCACTCCCTCATGAGCCATATTATGAAAAATCGAGATCAGAGTCGGAACGACTGCAAATGTATCTAGCAAGTAGAGTTTAAACCTGAAATAAACTAGGCCATCTCGAATCTCCCAATCTGATCCACGTTGACCACTTCGAATTTCGCCAATGATATCTCCTATGATAGGAGAGGTTGCTTGTGCTGCCCGTATTTCACTAAGTAAGGTGTTGTATGGAATACTGAGTGCTGCCAACTGGATGTCGTCCTCATGTTGTCGGGATAGAGCATCTGCGACAGTGTTTAGGCGGCCTGGCTTGTATTCTACCCGAAAATTGAAGCCCATCAATTTACTCAACCAATGTTGTTGTGGGGAAGTGGTCAATCGTTGATCAAGTAAATACTTCAAACTGGAGTGATCTGTCCGAATTAAAAATTCAGATCCCCACAAGTAGGGTCTCCAATGAGTCACCGCCTTGGCTAAGCCAATCAACTCTCTTTCATAGGCTGCGAGCTTAAGGTGTCGATCAGCTATTTTTCGACTAAAGTAGGCGATAGGATGCCCTTCCTGTTGTAAGACTGCTCCAAAACCTGAACCGGAAGCATCGCATTCTACAATGAATTCTTTTTCAAAATTTGGCAATTGGAGTACCGGAGCGGAGGATAAGCGTTGCTTAAGTGTCTCGAATGCCTGGGCAGCTTCCTCTGTCCATATGAAAGAGCTTTTCCTTAACATTTGCGTGAGAGGCCCCGCAATTTCGCCATATTGTTGAATAAACTTTCTGTAATAGCCGGACAACCCTAAAAACCCACGCAGGGCAGATACAGATTTAGGGAGGGGCCACTCTGTGATTGCATGTATTTTGGATGGATCAACCTCGACACCCCCACGATGTATTATGTGACCAAGATAGTTGACTTGCTTGTCGCCAAAACTGCACTTGGACTTTTTTACAGAAAGGCCATGGTTGCGCAAGATTTCTAAGACGAGGCGCACATGATAAACGTGCTCAACCCATGACTTGCTATAAATCAGTATGTCATCAAAGAAAACGAGGACAAACTTGCGAAGGTAGGGCCCAAAAATATCATTCATCAAACTCTGAAATGTGGAGGGTGCATTAGTTAGGCCAAAAGGCATAACTAAGAATTCGAAGTGTCCATGATGCGTACGGAATGCTGTTTTTTCGACATCCCCAGCTGCCATCCGGATCTGATGATATCCAGAACGCAGGTCGAGTTTAGTAAAAAATTGGGCCCCATAAAGCTCATCTAGCAGCTCATCAATTACCGGGATTGGATATTTATCCTTAATCGTCTTGGAATTCAATTCCCTATAATCAACGCAGAATCGCCAAGCACCCTCTGGTTTTTTTACTAATAATACAGGTGACGAAAAGGGAGAATGACTTGGGCGTATGATACCTTGCGCGAGCATCTCTGAACATTGTCTTTCGATTTCATCCTTTTGAAAGTATGGGTAGCGGTACGGACGAACAACGACTGGGCCTGTTCCTGGGATGAGGGAAATTCGGTGATCACAAGGCCGAGAAGGTGGGAGGCCGGTTGGTGGGCAGAAGATATCCTGGAAGTCATTCAGTAGGCCTTCCAGCCCTAATACTGTTTCGGTCAACATATGGGCATGAGGAGGCGTAGTTGCAATCTGTCCGTGCCATTCCACTTTTGCATTCTGCCATATGAATTGCATAGAAAGGCGGGAGAAGTCCCATACAATAGATCCGAGGCCTTGAAGCCATTGTACTCCCAAGATCATGTCAAATCCAGCTAAGGGCAGTACATAGAAGTCTGCCATAAATGTGCGTCCATCGACCATGAATTCCAGCCGAGGGCAGGTTCCCAATATAGGCACCCGTTCACCATTAGCCACCAAAACCTGAAGACGGGACCCAGGTTGGACTGGATGAACAATATTAGAAACTAGCCGTTGATGCACAAAATTGTGGGTGCTGCCTGAGTCGACTAAAACCGTGATCGAGGTGTTGTGAATGTGTGCAGCTAACTGCATTGTCGATGTTGTCCCAGCACCAACCATAGCATGAAGTGAGAGGGGGGGCTCTAGGTCATCTTCCAGGGGATTGTCTTCCAAAATTTCAATGAAAAACAACCGTTTGCATTTATGGCCACGAACCCACTGATCATCACAATTATAACACAACCCTTTCTCCCGGCGGATGGCAGCCTCTGCAGGAGAAATCTTTTTAAAATTTGGAATGGAGCTACGCCGAGGTTGATTGGATTCGGTCAGTGTGGGCGCATAGCCTGATCGTGTGGCAGGTTGGGGTGGAGGGGAGATCTCGACCGAGGAGCCTGGCAAATTATATTTGCGTTCAACATTACGTGCGAGCATCATCGCAGAGTCAAGATCTAACGGACTTTGGTACTCAACCTCCATGCGGATGACCTCCCGAAGGCCAGCTGTGAATATTTTGACTTGCATTCGTGTAGAGATCCCCACGGTTCGAGCCAATAATTGTTGAAAATTCTCAATGTAGAGCTCCAGATCACGAGTTTGACGAAGTTTGGCAAGATCACCTTCTGGATTAGAACTACTGGGTGGGCCGAAACGTTTGATGCAGCGAGTGTAAAAGTCTGTCCATGTAATCTCTGAAATTCCTGTCTCCAGTTGATCGGCCCATAGTTGGGCGGTGCCGAGCATGTGGAATGTTGCCAATCCCACTCGAGCTTGGGCCGGTGTTCGTTGTTGAATAAAGAAGCTTTCACAACGTTTCAACCACGACAAGGGATCACTTTTACCGTCAAATTGAGGGAATTCCAGTTTGGAGTAGCGGGGGACTACGGAGTCATCAGTTTCACGCCGACGATGTTCTGGGTCGCGTTGTCGTTCATGCCGTGGAATGCTGGAGGAAGATTCGTCCATCAATCGTTGCAGGTTGGCAGCTAGCGCGGATACAACGTTAGGAATGTCGGCAAGCTTTGCCATAGAATCCCTGATGTCTGCCAATTGATGTTCGACTGCCAGTTGCCTGTGATCGATGTTTTCGATCATGTCTTTGAGTGAGCCAGCGTCAGCAGCGTCTTTCGCCATCGTCCTAGATGCTGATACCAAGTTGTTAAGGGCAGACGTACAAGATCTCGTCCAAGGACGAGAACGAGAGACTGGCAGGGAACGAGAACTTCGAAAATTCTGAAATTTGGAATCTATGATGAATGTATTAACTGGAAGAATTAAAAGAAAGGCTCAGTGGAATTAATCTGATCTTGGAAGTATTCCAGAGATCCAGAAATTAATTCTCCAAAGCTGTTTATTGAATAATACTAATGACCCTTATATAGCTATTACAAGAGTCCTAATTCTAAAAGGAAATAAATGCTAATTAAGAAGTTTCCTAAAACATAGTAGGAAACATAATAGCTAATTGAACAGAGATAAATACTAATTAGGAAACTGCTGCAGATTATTGAATAGGAAGCTAGAAATAATTAGAGAAAGAGATAAATGCTAATTAGGAAGCTGCAGATTAGGAAGTTTCCTAAAACTGTCAGATCACATATTTCTTTCTCAGCCACTTTGGATTCCAGAATCATCCTTCCTGATCATCCGATTTCTACGTTGATATTTCCGACCATAGAATTGGTCTGTAACATATTTTTCGTGGGAAGGACTATATGTATTTGATCTTAAATCTTGTACGTAGTATATCATATACCCCACATTCTGTAGTTTTGGTAAAATTTAGCCAACCTTGTGTGGTTCAAGCTCTGCAATAACCCTCATAATCTCACATTATCACCATGTACGAGTTTAGGTTATATTCAAGGTATTGTGATAACCTTATTTCTATAGGTTATGTAGACGATAGCATTAATTTTGAATAATATTTATTTCTAAAAAAAATAAAATAAGTACAGAAATATGTGAATAATTAATAATTAAATAAAATAATAATCACATTATTCACACACACAAATTTTTATTTTCCATAGTCTCTGATATTAATCACTTGAACTATATACTACTCAATTCCATAGCATTCCGTGATTGTTTTTCTGCTCATAGCTTTTTTGGTTTTAATATTCTATTATTGTTCGACCCAAGCTTCAGCACATCAACTTATGATCATTTCTTTGATTTTATATGTTTATATATGTGGCTGTGTGTGCGCTGTCCTATGAAGAAAGTTAGGAACTTTACAAATGATAAACTTAAAGCCAACATTTTCTGCAGCAAAGAATTTCAATGCCGTTCAGAAGAAAGTTGCTGAGCTGACTAAAGGAAGAATTCTTGTTGGCCATGCTCTGCACAATGATCTGAAAGTTAGTCCTATGAGTTTTACACACTTAGTTTGGTTCAGCAGCAAGTGCTGTGCAATCTTGAATATTGTTTATTTTCCATGTAGGCTTTGCTGTTAAGTCACCCAAAGAATGATGTGCGTGATACTTCCGAGTATCAACCTTTCCTAAAGTAATCTTTCTCTACTGCCTTTTTCCTATACTGTTCCTTTTGGGTCTGTTTGGAACCTTGAAAACTAGAAGGAAAGAAAACACTCATGAAAAACAGGAAAGAACTCGAAGGGGAAAAAATGGGAAAAATAAAGATTGGCTCAATCTCAATACATTTATTTTAAGACATTGCCTAAAATAGGAGCAAAACATAAGGAAAGTTCAAAAATAGGAGTTCATGATTTAAATTCCCTAAATAGGTGTAATATATCTTGTGTAGACAAAAATACCCTAGCGGTTTAGTCTTCAGGATTGGAGTTTAGGGTGGTGGCTGCTAGCAGCGGCAGAAGTCTGCCGGCGGCAGTTGTCTGGCGACCAGAGGCGGTGGCAATCCAACGGCACGGGGGCCGGCGGAAGCTGTCCGGTGACAGTGGTTAATAGCTTCAAACCCTACACGGGGTTTTTGTCCAACCACAAAGTATTACTCCTATTTAGAGAATTTTAAAACATTAACTCCTATTTTTTTCATTTTAGTTATGTTTTGTTCCAATTGTGGGAATTTTTTCATTTGTTTTAGATGTTCTTTCAGACCCATATTTATTTGTTTCTATTTTACGAGTATATTTTAGAATGTCATTGTTCATTGTTTTTAAGGTAAAACCTAACTTAAGAAAGTTTCTTTAGAATAAGTTTCTTTTCCCTAGCATTGTCCTTGATCCAAATACACCCTTAAGAGTAAAACTGTGCGAAAATCTTTGTTTGGGTTTTTTAACAGTTCCGGAGTCTGCAATTTGATGTGATCCTGACTCTCAATATTTGGTAAGTGGTCAACTAACCCTTACGTCCTAACAATGGACTCATCGTACTTGGGTATCTCATCCATTTCCATAGAAAGAAGCCTGTGTAACCTTCGCCAATATCTTGTCAAAGATGATGCCAAAATAAGGAGGGTGTGAGGGGTTGAATCGACCACTTTTTAGTTAATTGAGGGACTCAATTACTTGACAACGGGGATTAGATTGCAGAATCAGGAACACATTTAAAGGACCAAAAGGAAAGGGATTTACTCATTCAATGATTATTTTTAGAGGTTTTTCCTAAAATATTACTAATAAAAAGCTTGTGGACAAAAAAGTGACTATAAGTTACTATGTGTAAGTTTATAGTCACTATGATGTAACATTTGAATACAACTGTAGTCACTTAAGTTACAAAAGTCACATTTTTGTCCAATACTTATATTTTGGTTATGTATTTGGAATTATTTCTTATTTTTATTGTTATTTTTGGGATATTGGCCCAACAATATCTAGCCGGGCTGGCCGAATGGTACTAGGCCTGTGGATTGGACGGCCCAGCCCATCAACAGAAGAGTGCTAACTTGTTTTATATTTTTAAAGATATAACTATGGTCTATATTTTATACTACCTTCGTCCCGATGGAATTTGCCAAGTGCAAAGTAGGTGAGAAATAAGAATAGTAAAAACTGTGTGGTTGAGATTTGTGCAGAGGAGAGAGAAATGTGCAGAACCACAAATTAGTTGCTTTAATAGGAAAGTGGCAAAGTTTTTTGGGACAACAAAAAAGAGAAAGTTGGCAAAGTCTAATGGGACGGAGGGAGTAGTATATAGATGGGGCGCCTGAGTCAGGCGAGCTCTTTTCTGCTCCTTGCTCCTCTGGTGATTTGAGTCCTCTAGCGCCTTGAGTGCGCCTCATGACTTTGACTATCTTGCCTCTTGTTCTAGTTGTTGGCGATCCTCAGCTGTAAAGAGCAGTTTTCTGTGCTGGAGAAAGGGTTGGCTGTTTGGCACTTGTTTACACTGAGCAAAAAATCTTATCTAATGTTTTATTGTGCTTTTCATTTTTCCATTTTTGTATGCGTCCAATCTTGCAAACGAGCAGAAAATCTAATACAGCAAAAGGATTGAGCATGTGGGTCATTTTTTTAATATGTTTGTTTGTTTGTTTATAAGCAGAGAAGGACGTAGTCGTGCACTTAGGAGTCTTGCAGCCGAAATTCTAGGAGCAGATATACAAAATGGAGAGCATTGTCCGGTTTGTCTTTCACATTTATGTGTGTGTGCGTGTATAGATGGGGGGAAGGAGGGGGAGAAGGAGCACATGCTATAAAACTTTCTACTATTAAAAACATTTCAATATTAGAATTGTTATTTTTGCCCCTGCTTTTATTTCAGGTGGAAGATGCACGTGCTGCTATGTTGCTTTACTTAAAACACAGGAGGGAGTGGGAAAAGCATGTCAAGAGGATGAAGAAAAAACAGGGAATCCGGAAGCCGAAGAAGAAGAAGCTGGCGAAAGGTGCAGCCGTAGGTGAAGATCAACTTGCTCCTGGATAATGTCTCCTGAGGCCTGAACTGCTATGTTTTTTGTTTTCTTCATCAAGAAAAAAAGGGTTTTCTGCTCAAACAGGTGAGGAAATGAATGGATCTGCTCTTCAATATAAAAGAAGAAACACAGTAGAGTGTGCCTGCTCTTCTTCTTTCAATGTACTGAATAACTCGCCAATTTCCAGAGTTCACACTGCATCTGGTGGCGGATGCCTTCATTTATTTTTTTAGGCTGGATTATTCTTATTTTGGCACCAGATATCATTTTCCATCGACTGTTTTAGTATGTTGGCCATGGAAACATAAATAGGCTGGAATACCAAATTGGTAAAAAAAGAGGCTCAGGTCATATGGCTCATTTTTAGCAGCGTGCTAAAAGATGAACATGTACCTGAGATGAACTGAATGTGGGTATTATGCCTGTTCGTCTAGCTCTGTGAAGGAGCTGAGAATATTGCTAAAAGTTATGGAGAACAAGTTGTCAATCCTTTATAATGAAATAAATGCTACTATTTATACTACTAAGGGATAGGTAGATTCCCTGACGTGGATTGTTGTGGATGGCTGTATTCTCAATCACCAAATCTTCAGCAATAAATGTGTCTCCTGCCAATATCTTGGTTTCCCGTCAAGGTCTGTGGATGAACTTTTTCATGATCCTGGGCCCTTGCCTTGGTGGTGTAAGGGCTGGGCTCCTTACGTCTCCTGCTAATCATCTGGCCGTGGGCGCTTACCGATCACTTGGTGCATTGGTGGGCTAAGGTCATAGGGACTGATCGTCTTGTTGGGTCAGTCGGTCGTCTTATGGCACTTAGGTCCATCATGGTCAACTGTCCTTTATGGGTTGTGTAGTCTATTGAAGAGCATCTTTGGGCCTTTCTCTCGACGGGCTTTGATGATCTTGGTTAAGGGATTAATGGGCCGATCCCTGGTTGGGCCATTAACCCAACGGAAACATATTCGATATCATTTATCAATGATTACGGAGTATAATACAAATTTTTATAACCCAACAAAATATATAGTAGCATGTAGCATGAATATGATTTCAAAATACATTACATGAATCTAAATGTTATGAAAGACTTCTTTATAGAAAACTTTTTTAGTTTCAACGTTCGTTCCTCTGTGATCGTTTACAGTGTGATTTTTAACGGTCGATGATTGACTACTCTTGATACAATCATTTAAAGTTGATCATGACTAAAAATAGGGGTTCAACAACAAATCAATACGCGATAACGTTTGTCTATATATTCATGATGTAATTATTAATAAGTCATGTTTGGGTATTATTGCATCATGAATTGGAACGGCAAGCTAACACCCATAATTCTACTTTTTAATCTCTATAAATACTCCATGTAAACACCCTATCAAGGGATCGAGAATTGGATTTCCAGAATAAGAGTAATACTGCCTTACGCTGCCATATTGTTTTCAATATTATTTATATACTTTACGTATATTTAGCTCTCGTAGTTGGATTAAACTCCATCAATGATCTTTTATATGACACCAATATCATATATGTGAAAAAAATTGGTCAGGTCTATTGAACGGTCGATTTATGTATATTTAATACGGACTACGTAGTATTTTTTAAATCTAATCTAGTTTGATTTGATCTAATTTGTTTGAATCTGTCTGGATCGAAATCAGTTCAATTAATAACATTATTCTAAATATCATTCGCATCCTAAATCTAGTCATGTAACATATATGGATACACATGTTTCACACAGGGTTGATATTCGCAACGTTATACCAAGTTATTTTAGTGCATCTTGACCTCCACGAACCAATCACTTGTTTGCCCATGATTGCTCCTCCTGGAAGTAGTCTTCAGAAGACAATTTTTTGCATTGCTCGGCTTCAATCCCAACAACACTACGTAGCTGTAAGAAAACAATATTTTATATTTCCATTTTGATTTCACATTACCATATGATATCCATAAAATGAAAACTTATGTTGATAGATGCACAGATTTGGCTTGACGACAATGCTCCGTTGCCACAAGTGTTTACAACATGGTCTTACTATCACGACGCTAGTGTTACAGGATGGGATATACCACTTCTTCATCGAATTAAACAGTTTATAGAATGTCGTAATATTGTTAGAGAACCTCTTACAATTGTATTGGATGATTGATATTAATTTTATATATTATAAAAACATAAAAGATTTGTTTTTAACTTTGCCCAATTCTATATTGGGTTATATATTTGAATAACTTTTTAATCTTAGTAAACTAATTATGTTCATTTTTTATTTGTTTGACTAATTTCAAAGGTTGAAGGCCTCGCCTTTTAAAACTCGATCGGCACCATGTTGATTCTGCATTACGACCATATATGTTACATGGCTAGATTTAGGATGCAAATGATATTTAGAATGTTTTTAATTGAATCGATTTCAATTCAGACAGATTTAAACAAATTAGATCAGATTAGACTAGACTAGATTTAAAAAAATATTATGTAGTAAATATAAAGATAAAAAAAATTATTTAGTTTGATATAGTTTTTATAAAAATAGGAGCAAAATTGAAAAAGTTATAACATTTTATAAAACAGAGAAAATTGGCCACATGGCAGCAACTTTTTGGTGGGAGAATAAATGTCTTGGTTATAAAAAAGCAAGACATTATAACTTATTTTTGTTTTTAAACAAAAAAGCAATAAGGCCCGATAAATTTAAAAAGAGTAAAAGGTCAGTTTGGTACTCAAACTTGTAAAAAAGGTGTCAAATAAGTCCTTATATAGAAGATTATGTCCGGACGTGCTATTTGAGGTGGCTCCCGGTGGAATTTTTTTATAATTGTTTTTGAGCATCTTATTCATTAAGTCTAGTTTACTCATACCAAATTTCAGCTAAACATTCAATCGGGAAGACATTCAAATGAATTCTTGAAGATAACTACGCTTTTAACGGCACAATTATCTTCAAGAATTCATTTCAATGTCTCCCCGATTGAATTTTTATCTAAAATTTGATATGAGTAAACTAGACTTAATGAATAAGATGTTCAAAAAATTTCATCAAAAAATTCCACCGGGAGCCACCTCAAATGACACTTCCGGACAGAATCTTCTATATAAGGACTTATTTGACTCCTTTTTTGCAACTTCAAGGACTAAACTGACCCTTATCCCAATTTAAAAATCATTTGGTTAATCACGTACTTAGGTGATGCGCCTATTCTAGTAGAAGTGGGTGAGCAATTGATCACGGACAAATTTGTCCAAATTTGAAAAAGAATGGGTGCGCACAGCAAACTTGGAGGCACGTGGAGCAGAGGCGTTCAGGAATCATCCATAATCAAATTTTTATTTACCCGTCATATAACAATACCTACATATTCATATAAAACAGAAAATTCACAAACATATTTATAAAAAAAGAAAACTAAAACAAAACAGACACAATTATAAACGATGAGTAACAAAATAACTAACCCAACCATTATGAGAAAACGTAATTAAGGGTTAGATTTGATGACCATGTTTTTCAGCTTATCAATCAACCTTTTCACCAAACGCATAACTTTGATTTAATGCGCTGAATTGTGTAATTATCAAAATACCTAAGGCTGAAACATATTTATTAATAGAATCAAGTTACCATTTTTTCATATAACTTTTTCTTTATTTTATTAATTAAAAATATTTGAAATATATTTTTTTCATAAATTTCAGCAGAGTCAGCCGATTCAGTCAATTTTGGTGTTACTAAACGGGCTCTAAGTAAAATGAAAAAATAAATCTTAACATAACACATAAAAAGAATGCAAAATATATTAATAATATATTCAAAATAACATTTATCATTAACAAAAAATGCATATAAATTAAAAGAAATAATTATATATTTATGATTAAAATAAATTTTGTTTACAAAAAATGTGACTAGTGACTAAAGTAGTAGTCAAATCATAGTAACTTATGTTCAATTTACTAAACTTAAATTACCATGACACCAAACTATAATAACTGGTAGTCATATTTGTGTAAATAAATTTTATTTTAATAATATTTTTTTCAAAACCCAAATTAAAATTATACAATGATGGTGAGATGAAGAAACACTAATTGAAGATGGTGAGTGGAACAAACCATTAACAGACAAATAGGATGAAAAATGAATGAAGCAAACAGAGTGAAAAGAGAGGCCATCAGAAGAACCAATGGTCTGAAAGGTGATCGGTGTACGGATAAATGACGAAGCCGAAGGAGGAAGCAGAGTTTGAATTGGGTGTTTTAGGTTTAAGTTACTGGGTTGGGTAGATTTAATTTACGGTTTTGGGTCGTGTCAATTGGATTACGTCATTTTTAAATAACCATTCGGCCTGTGAAGAATGAAAATTATTATAATCGTTATTGTTATATTATACTTTTATTATTATTGTTATGGTAATTGTTGATATGTTTCTATGATTGTTGTTATAATATTAGGATGTTTTATTTGGACAAAAAAATCTGATTTCGCCTTATCTGATCTGCTCTGGTCTTAACAAGTCAGGTAAATGTATGGTATCCGTGTATTTTACAACTATCGGCGTCTGATCTGGTCCATAACTGAAACAAGTTCAAGTAAAAACAATATAATGTTTCTGGTGATTATTAGTGTAACGATTACTATTACTGTTAATATTATTATGATTATTATTTTGGTTGATTATTAGAATGTTATTTATTAATATTCATTATTATAATATCATGTAGAGAAAAGTTCCTAAATAGGAATAAAAGATATATTAATTGATAAATGAAGACTTTATTATTTTATTCCTAAAATATGAATCATTCACTCTTATTTGAGATGTTCTAGTGCATTTATTCTTTTATCAAGACTAAATAACTTCTATTAGGAAAATTAGACATACATAGTCTTGTTTTTGAACATTGTATATATTTTGGTCCCGGTGAAACTTATATATCATTTGTTTGAATAATGTCGATCAATATCACTGACCATATATATCCTTCTAATGACATAATATCTAGTAGAATTGACAATCAAAATTATAGACCCAAAATTAAAAACCTCAACAAAAAATGAAACACCGTGAACAAACATAACACGAAAATAAGACCATAATAAATAGAATACCTCACAAATGCTCCAAACTTCTTGAACTTTCTTCTTCCAAACGCCGACATCTCCATCAATCCAAGGCTGCAGTTCAGGAGGGGGACGTACCGCCGATCTATATTCTCCCTTGATCAACCCTTCGTCGCTCCCTGTCTGTTCCAAGGGCCAAGGGCCGGAACCAAACATTGAAGCGTTGCTAGATTGCCCCACCCTCTACAATTCCATGTAATGATGCTCATCTTCCCCGGGTTCAACTCGCCTCAATCACACGACTTCGGTTTCTCCTATCTGCGAGAGGTCTGCAACTCGTCCAAAAGATAACTCCTTCCAATTCAGAGCAAAATCCGAAAGCAAATAACACACGGGCGTCGTGATTAAAAGCGAACACCACTGGACAGCCAAACTAAGCATAAAATGGTAGATTTATTAATATATAACCAAAACTGGCATATATAAATGGTCCTCGATCATGGTATAGATATGGGAATATAAATTACACTATGCATTATGAGCCCGTTTGGAGACCTCTGTTTTCGGCTTATCAGGCTTATCAGCCAGCTTTTTCACCAAACACGTAACTTTTACTTTCGCGCGCTGAATTGTGTAATAAGCCGAAAAAGTAAGGTTGGAGTTACTTTTCTGGCTGTATTGGCTGAAGTTACTGTAGAGGACCATTTTAGCTATTTTTACATATAATTTTTTCTTTAATTTATTAATAAAATATATTTTTAAAATATTTTTTTCTTAAATCAGCAGAATCAGCCAAAACAGCCACTCCAGCGAGAATATCATAAATTTCAGCAGAATCAGCCAAAACAGCCGATTTTGGTGCTACCAAACGGGCTGTATGACTGCAATACCTATCATCCCATTTGTAACTAAACCTATTTTTGATAATTAAAAATGACATTATCTATCCTGTATAGCAAATTCACCAACTTTTCCGTTCAAATTAAAAGTTTTTTTTTATCATCGTTCAAATTAAAAGTTAAAAAACATTTTTTATTTTTTTGACTAATAATGATGTTTTTATTTAAACTGAAATTTCTTTGCCTGGTTTCGTAAATTTATCTGGTGGGGTGGGGGGGGGGGGTCTTTGCTTAGTTGTACAAAGTAATGGAGTCATGAACTGACCAAACCGCGAACCATCCGCGCTATTCCCCTTTCTTTCTTGAATCCAAAAGCCACCGCGAATGGCGTCGACGTCAGGACAACGCAGCGGCGCCCCTCTCGGAAGACTCAGATCAGTTACCTCTATGCTCGACTCAGACAATCAGTCCCTTATCAGAGTATGAACACTCTTTTTTACGGTTATGCGGAGTATTAAAATTATGTTATTTTCCTGATTCTCTTTTCTTCATAACCTTATTTTTTGGAATGTATTCTGGAATATATTTAGGATATGAGGAAGGCTATAACTTTGATGAAGGAAATTGCAGTTGATTTGGAGAGAGATAACAAGTCAGATATGGTACGTTCTTGAGAAGTCTGGATTGTTAAAACCTGTCCGCATGTGCGCTTAAGCTACATTGTAGAGAACTTATGATATCTGTATGTGTGATTTTTCATAGTTTATTCAGTTTGTGTTGTTATAAACCTTTACATAAAATAGTTCTTCCTAGTTATAGTGTACTAGTGTAGGACAGTATAGGGTTCAGGCTCATACAGGAGAAATAAGTGTTGAACAGTTATCTTTTCTTATTAAACAGACTCTGCACTAATCAAAGATAATTGCAACGCTATTTCAATCATTGGAAAGCTTTTTCACCTCATTTTTATGTTCAGTGAACACCTTAAACTTGTTGTTCATACTATTAACTGAATCAAAAAGTTGCGGGGGAAGAACTTTTCTACGTCAATTACCTTAATATTTTTCGGTAATTGGTTTCAGATCCTTTGCACGGCTTTTAAAGCCAGACACCAAGCCTTGTTGTACCAGGATCATTAGATCAGCGTGGGGCTCACTGATCGCACAAATCTCGAGATGATCTAAGTGTTTGTATCCCTCCTTAAGGGGAGAGGTTCTAGAAAGTTCTAGATTTTTCTAGAGAAGTGTAGAATTTTTCTAGAGATTTTTGAGAGAAAATAGAGAGAGCTTAGGAAGTCCTTATCCTCTAGCTTGAGTGAGCCAAAATAGAGTGAGTCAATTTTGTAAACACATCCTTATAATCCTTTTGTATAGTGGAAGTATCTTCATATTGAAAAATTATACTAGTGTGCTCTCATTACTACCTTTAATATTAAAATGCCTATCTTAACTTCATGAAGCGAGAAAGTCTGAATTTTTCCAACACTAAGGGTCAGCATTCACTATTCTAACATGTTATTAAACTAAAGTAAATGATAAAGTGAATGATGCTTATGTCAATTTTCAATGTTACTAATTAATTTAATAAATTTAATGGTTGATGAGTGGATCTTGAAAAGCAATTCTGAGTATCCGAATAATATTAGGGATGAAGCCTTTTCACCTTATTTTTGAGTGTTAATCAAAGATAATTATTGGAGTTAAGATAGACATTTAAATATTCATTCACAGGAATAAGGTGTTTATCTTAAGATACTATTTTACTGGTGGATAAATGCCTATTCAATGTATTATCTTTAAGTGCTAATCAAAGATAACCAGAAGGCTATTTTAATCATCAGAAAGCCTTTTCACCTTATTTCATTGATTTTTTCTGTTCAGTGAACACCTTAAATGTTTGTCCAATACTAATAACTGAATGGAAAAGTTACATTGAGATTCTTTTCTACATAAATTACCTTACTGTATTCGAATTCATTCCTTTGCACTGATTTAAAGCCAGACACTGTGCCTTAGGCCCTTAACGCACCCAAATTGTCAGATCAAAGCGGGGATCACTGGTCGGCTGATCGCACAAATCTTGAGATTATATAAGGGGTGAAGTTGGCTGGCCGGCTGGGCAGGTTTCTAGGCTTTAAAGCCAGGTAGAGGGTCGGCATTCACTTGTTTCACCTGTTATTAAACTAAAGTGAATTATACTGAAGTCAATCTTCAATATTGTTAATTAAATTTGATAAAGCATAATGTTGGATCTTGAAAAACAATTTTGAGTAGTGAAGTTATCAGAATATTATAATGTGCAAAGCCTTGGTCTCAGTTAACATAATAGATTCCACTAGTAGCCAATTAATTGTTCATGCCCACCAGTAAGAGAGCTGAAGCCATTGGGAGACCAGCAGGTATATGTCTATGATAACATGCTTAATTGGGTTTACTTACCCAAGTGTGATGTTTACCTCACACTTGTATATTAGACACACGTAAAATAAACATCTGATATGGGACACTCTAGCAGAAGTTTATTTAACTTGTAAAGTACAACTGTGAGATGTTGACATTAGGGTATCACATTATCATAATTATTTTACACAGTACAAAAAGCTATAATTTCCCTAGGACAATTAGCACGTCTGAGGTCAAATATCACATAGTTATTTGTTTTGAACACTTGAACCTGCTAGCCTTATGCACAAAATAACAGAGGTAAGATCAACATTCCAGGTGAAGGAGCTTGAAACTGCAGTCGCTCAGTTATTGGAAACCTCTAATGACTGTTTGCATTTTTCTAATGCAATGCAAAGTATAGGAAATGTGTACGAACCTGGGCCACAGGTATCTTTTCTTCCTTTTACAGTTTCTTCCTAACTGCTATCTTTCTTTCTCTTTTCTAGTTTTAGTACTGGCCCAGAACTTAGAGGGTTTGAAATCATTGATTGCAGCCAACAGATTTTAAGAAGTTGTTTGATGCTGAGATTGGAAAATCTAAAGTAGCTTCTTCTCTTCAGAATCAATCACTAAGACAGTTTCGGGAAGCTATTTGGGTATGTGTGTTCACATATCAGAGATATAAGTTACAAAATGTATTTCATTTAAAGTTTTCTCTTTAGTGCTGCTTAAACAATGGTTTTCTTTTTCGCATCAATTTGCTTTCTTCTTCTTCTTTGTATATTGAAACTGAACGACATGAATTCATAATTTTTCACAAAAAGTGTTGTACATCCATTGTGAAACTGAACCTGATTTCAACTGTTTTCATCTAATTTTAACTGCCATTTGCTCTAATTAAGCAGTTCACATCCTTCTCAAAGTTACTGAAAATCATCTGCACTTTATTTTCCATCTTGATTTATGGAATGTGTATAAGTGTATCTATGAAACTGACAACTCCAATACGTTCATGATGGATTAAGGGGGTGTTTGGAACTGATTCTACTTCTGCTTCTTTTTTAAAGCAGAAGCAGAATCAGAATCAGTTTTCAGAAGCTGTTACCTACTAGCTTCTAAAAAAATTGATTCTGGGAGTAAATTAGAGCACCAGAAGTGCTTCTGGAATTTCACCCAAACAGTCCAGCTTCTGCTTCTGCTCCCTGAAGGAGCAGAATCAGTTTTGAAAATCAGATCCAAACACCCTTTAACAACCAGATGAACTTCCCTCACGCCTCCTGTTTTCTCTTTTCTTTTTTTCTTTTTTTAATTTAAAGAATGTTCATCATGCTGGACAACCAATGCCGGGAGAAGAGGAAGATGATATTGTAATGACCAGTTCAGGGTGCAACCTCCTTAATAAGACTTGTCCCTTAAGTGGAAAGCCCGTCACGGAGCTAGTTGAACCTGTTAGAAGGTATGGTAAAATAAATCTTTTTTTGTGCAGGTGTCCCACATTGTAGAGGTTTCCTTATTAGACCCCGGAAACAATCTAGGCAAACTCTAGTAGCCAGGAATTGCTTTCCTGTTGTTTCTCAGGATCCGTTTGGGGTTAAATTTTACGTTGGAAAATACAAATGAAAATCAGATTATATACAAACGTTTTACAACTCTACATGTATTTAGACGTCTTATTCGTCAAATAATAAATTTATAAAAATATAATGAGTTTGATGATCAAATATTTACAACTGATTCATTAAGTTTGCACCATATTTTTTGCTTCACCGCATATTTTATTCCCTTCCAAGTTCCCCTCTGTTCTCCCTTCGTATTATCCGTCCATTGCAGTATTATGGTTCCAAATAGACCCTTAATATAATGCCCTTACTTCATCCACTGCTCAATTGGTATAGTGCGGAGTGCAAACATATATTTGAGAAGGCGGCTATTATGCAACACATAAAGAATGCGCGAGGCCGGTGTCCTGTTGCAGGTACTTCATCCCTTTATATACAGTTATACACCCATAAAAGTTTTTGCTCTGATTGGTAACACCACAGTTTAGCGTATCTTATTTGATTGTGTTAGTCCAGTCGTCATATAAAAAGGGACAGATCCGAACCCTGATCCTCTCAAGGCACAAGGGGAGAGGCTCCACTGGTTGCACAACTGTATTGTATATAATTCAGAAAAGTAGTGCAAGTTTTATTCTTTTGCTAAACAACTTCAACGAAGATAAATGACATTTCTACCTCACCCTAAAAAGAGCCCAATTTGGTGAAGTTACAATTTCTAAAATTTTGAAGGCACCAGATTTCAAAATCACGAAATCTTAATCACTTCCTCTTCTTTTTTCCTTTCTTTGCTGTCAAAATAAATTTTACTTTCCATGAGAAAGAATTGAGTGGTTTACTTTTTTTCATTTCCTTTTTAAAAAGATATGAACCAAACATAAAAAAAAAAAGATATGAACCAAACATTTTAAATTTCTTAGTAAGTGTGGAACACTCCCACTATGAAGTTTATATTGGGAAAGTGGTTCTACATTTTCAAAACTTGAGCGTTGTTTAACTAAATTAATCATATTCAACTAATTAATTTTTTTTTGGCAAACGATATCAAAATAATCTTCTTTTGATAAAATATGATTTTATTTGGGGAAGAGGGTTCTTATCTTCATTACAGTTTCAGACAGTTTAGCTCATTCAGCCACAATCTCAGTTAACCCCTATCACTACTTTTTCAGGCTGTCCAAAAGTAGTGCACGCAAACAAAGTTGTGTGTGATGCATTCTTAGTCATTGAAATTGATGAACTCCGCTCTATGGGTAAAGAAACTGCTGGCTCAGGCAACGTAGAGGATTTCACAGACCTGCCGGAAATTGCTGAGGACTCAGGTTGATGATGACTGCTGCTGATTGTTGGAATCCTCTTTTGTTACCTGATATGGACAATGGACATAATGAATTAAATTTTACGGAGTATTAGATTTGGATTGGAAATGTGTAAGATTAGTACAATATTTAGTAAGAATTAGTATTAATTTCTTACTGACTAGTTATGTCTAATCAAAAAATTTATATGAAAATCGCCCGTATCGATAACTATGTCAGTAAAAGATGAGAGTTGGAAAACAACCGAAAGTCATCTTACTCTCTGATGTCTCTGTCACTCTGATTAGATATATAAAAGATTGTACAAAATTGAACAAATCTTTTCTCTAATCATGTCAGAGGTTTGAAAATTTCCCACCATAGTAGCTTCAATTTGTGTGCCTAGAAAAACATAAACCACCACTGGGTATGAGCGGTTCTGGGCTGATTCCGGTAGATCAGCCGGGCTTGTCCGGTCAATTTTTTGAAATGAAGTCTAATGTTTAAAAAATGTTAATGTTTGCATTATTTATGAGATTATATCGTTTACTGACTTCCCTTTTAATAGTTTTTCTTGATTAATTTTGAAATTGTAGGTTTAAAAAATGTATGCAATATTTATGAACTTGCATCATTTTATAACTTCCCTGATGAATAATCAATATCCATATTGTATAATTTAGAGAGATTGAACAAGAATGGAGAAGAAATGATGGATGTGTATTATTGTGTATAGAATAAATGAATATTGCTTATCTATGACTTAGGTTTACAAGTCTCTTATAAAGAGTATATATAGGGAATTCCGGGTCTGCGCCTCTAATATGGGCCTGATAGACCCGGTTACATAAAAGGACTGATAACATAAAAGGCTAATCTAGTACATACAATGAATATGTAAACTATACAGTATTATAAATGTTGTCTGTTGGCGTACATGAACCGCTGTCCAGGCCCAGTAGTAAGTAGACCTGGGGGTCGGAGTCCATATGCTCTATCAGGAGTCCTCCGCTCCCTGAACCGAGAGTACTCGAGGCGATAGGGAGTAGTCCACCATTGTATCTGCAATGTTCTTTTGTCTTTGGTTTCTTCCTCTTCGGCCGGGGGACCACCACCCTTTTCCATGATGGGGAGGTGCCTTGTTAAAAACCTTTACTAGGAAAAAATCCAGTGGGAAAAAATCATAATAAAGGGAAAAAGAGTACACCTACCACCCCCAACATGAAACAAGGAAGTCAGTCCCCTCCGACATAATCAATCTAGCTAAACTCCTCTTCATCCGACTCAGCTTTCATTCTTGCTCATGCGTGATATTTTCTGCTCATCTAGAAACTCTGACCCCTTAGTCTCCCAATCCCCCGCTCCTTGAGGCAAGTGGAGACGAGGTGAAAATGAGTTAAGTCATCTTCGTACCTACACATTTAACATACATATAATTTTTTTCTTAGGATTTATGTTTCGGATCGGGAGTTCGTTACTTGAAAAAAGTGGAAATGTGGATTGCCAATGTAATGATAAAATACTTAGTAGAGTGGATGTGTGAGTCATTCGTAAGCAACGGTCGCCACTCGAGAAGTAGTCTAGTCATGGACCCGGGCCGGGCCTGAGGGTTTTTGAAGGAAGCCCGGGACCGGCCCGTGCTATGGCCGGTGCCAATTTGGGCCGGGTCATGGGTCGGGCCACCCGCCGGGTCGGGTCAATTTCCAATTTTTTTGGGTTTTTGGTACTTATATGTACAAGTGTTGCATATTACAAACAAACTTCAAGAGTTCAAGGCATTTATTTGAAATAGGGACTACACTTGAGAATTGAGAAAAAATACATATTATAAAATTTATTAATTAATTTAAGAAGTGCTACATATAAAAAAAATGAACATATATTTATTTGAAATATGAACTACAAGTTTACAAATTACAATTGAAAATTGAGGGAAGAATTAAAACATGAAATACATTTTATAATAAATTGTAAAATACTAATCAATCGGAATCTCTGGCATAGGTAGAGCCACCCTCGGTTGTTGATTCATCCATAAAGTCTTGGGATATCATGATGTTAATTTCTTGAGTTCTACGTTGGGCCTTCAACCAATCGTGATAGCATACAGGCGTCTCAAGAGAGTTTGCGTTCAATCTTGTTCTACATTTCGTTAGGACGTTGTCGGCCGAACTAAATTCTTGTTCCACGGCAACTGTTGAAACCGGCATTGATAGCACTTGCTTAGCAATCTTTTGCTAAAACCGAGAACATTCTTTCTTTTTCCTTCCACCACTTTAGAACGTCAAAGTCATCATTTTCTTCATAATCAACGTCATATGTTAAATACAAAGTAATCTCATTAACTGAGCTTTGTTCAGTAGCGGGAGTTGTTTTAGTTTTTTTCATAAGATTGTCAAATGCAGATTTAAAATTTGATTTTCCTTTAGATGAATATGTTCATGTCGAGGGAGGGGGCGCGTTGTCAATTGTGCATGAAACTCATTAAATAAGGCATATAATAATGTACTAACCTCGTTGTATTCTTGTTTCGGATCTATGGGGTTTTCATCATACATTGGAGATTCACCAAAAAAAGCACGATAATAGAACTTCAAACATTCTTCCAAAGAACCAAGTCTAAAACGAGGATCGAGAATAAATACAATACCATAAATATGCGGAATATGTGCATAATATTTTAAAAACGTTTCATTCATAAAATCACAAAAATAACTCACGTAAACGGCATCCGAAAATTCATTAAAACCACCGGCGAGATTAACAGCTTCACGAATAAATTGGTTTGAGGTAGGTTTATAAGCATGACTAAAAGTTTCAGTTGCATTAAAAAATATACCAAAACATTACATATTTTTTCGCAAGTGTCGATGTCAACCGAGTTTATAATATAGTTATCATATTGTTTTAAAAAAGCAGGAAAATGTTCTTTATATCTAAGAAGAACTTTAATTAACTTATAAGTACTATTCCAACGAATAGACAAATCTTTAGGAAAAGCAACATATTTCACACGTCTTTCGATCAAATAATTTTGCCATTGTAATTTAAGTTGACCGCTACCCCAAATACTTCTAATCCCCTCTTGACAATCTGCAAAGCATCTCCTAACGCTTTTAGACCGTCTTGTACACATAAACTTATAATATGGCATGCACATCGTTGATGAAAAAATCTACCCATGAAAGTATTAGAACCACACAATTCACACAATCTAGGTATAGCAGCAGTATTATTAGTAGCATTATCAAAACCAATAACAAACACCTTATCAATCAAATTATACTCAATTAAAATACGCTCAATCAAAATATAAATATTATCAGCGGTGTGACGATCATTAAATTCACGAAAAGCAAGAACACATTTATGCATATTCCAATCATCATCAATATAATGTGCAATCAGACCCAAATAATGTAAATTATGATAAGTATCCTCCCATATGTCTAAACAAATAGTAACACGTCCATCAAAGTTTGCAAAATAATTTTGTAACATTGCCTTTTCCAAACCATAAAGCCTTATAATTTCTTTCTTAATCGTTTTGCGACTATAACCTCTAAAAGTAAGACTTTCAGACAACATATAAGGCAAATTTTCTTCAACAATTAAGTTAGACATACCAGCCAAATTGTGTGCATCATTATATGAGAAATTACCAAAAGGTTGGTTATTTGCAAACCTCGATATTTGAGTTTGCTTCCCCTTTCCTTTGTCTAATTTTGCATACTCCATAATGTGTTTGGCCATAAGATGCCTTGCGGCGGATCCGTATCCGCCGGAAATCCCCAAGCTATAATCTTTCCTGCACCACTTGCAAGTTGCATACCAATTCCCGGGCTCCGCGTCCTTCCACTTATCAAAATTATTTTCCATTAGTTCAGATTTACTTTTTTTCTTACCGGCTTGGGATGATGCAGGCTCGCCCCGCGTCGTGGCTGCCGCCACCCTCCTCCTCGGCCATCTCCGGTTCCATTTCCTCCGCATCTTCATCCTCGAGCTCTTCTTCGTCAATGGTCGTCGAGAATTGTTGTTCTTGGAAAAAGTGGCTATTTTGTCGGGCCAATTCTTGTTGTAGTTGTTCGTCGGACATCCATCCCCATCCCTCCTTTGGTAACCCGTTTCAAAATCATCTCGGCTTTGAGATGAAGAGCCGATATGTGCTTTACCTTTGCGAGAATTCTTCCTCCCAATCTCGTTCCTTCGGTTGCGTTGGAGGTTACTCATATCAACCGAATTTCTACCACCTTCCATCTTAAAAATGTAACAAATATTAAATTGCAACAAATATATGAATGAGTACAATAGTAATGCAATTAATTAAAACTATTTTAATTAATGAAAACTACTTTAATAAAATGTGAAGTACTTTAATTAAGTAATGAATTAAAGTGTGACTCTAAAATGTGACTTAAATTCGAACTAATCAATACAATTTTTTATAAATACTTAAAATTAACAAGTGTGACTTTAACTAAAATGTGATTATTATTAAAATGTGAGTAATTGAATTATAGCAACTTTCCAAGTACTTTAATTTAGTGAAAACTACTTTAATAAAATGTTAAGAACTTTAATAAAATTAATTGAACTATTCTTTTTTCTTCAAATAAAAATTCAAACTATTATAGTGTGACTTTAACTATAATGACAATTAACTAGTTTTTTTAAAGTAGAGACAAAGGTAGCAATTAATAAAAAAAGTGTAATGTACTAATTCACTACTTTAATGAAAAATGTAACAATTAGTGGGAATACTAATTAACTAATGAAGTAATGTTAATACAAAATGTAACTAATAAGACAAATGTATTATGTATGAATGTGTATACTAATTAATGGGAGTATTAGAATGAATTTAACTAATATTAATTAAAGTGTAACTAATATATAATATATTGTGTAAGTATATATATATATATATATATATATATATATAATATATTAATTAGATGTAATAAAAGTAATATATGAGTAAAAATCGAATATATATATACACTTCATATGTATATACTTAATATAGTAATTAATATAGTTCGAATTAATTAGATATAATTCCAACTATATTAGTAGATATAACAATTGTATAACTAATATATAATATAATGTTTATAGTATATAATATATAAGTATACTACTATAAATGAGTAATACACTTATATTTAATACTTTAATATATAAGGTATATATTAAGTAGATGTAGTATGTATGTATTAAGTAGATATAAGTAGATAATAAGTAGAAATTAAGTAGATAAGAAATATAAGTAATATATATGTATTTATAAGTAGATAATTAATATATAAGTAGATAAGA